CCCACATTGGACTAGTTTCCTTGCCAGAAGGTCATGGGGGACCTTGTCGAAGGCCTTCCTGAAATCCAGAGTGGAGAACGCTGCTTGGGAGTCCAGGAAGAGACTCCTGCCTGGCAGAATGCGAGTGGGCTGGATGGCCCCTGGGGGTCCCTTCCAACTCTAGGGTTCTGTGACTCCGTGCAGTATTTCTTGCAGATTCATTGCTACAACCTAAGACTGAAAAGCTTGGGTGACTCCTGTCTTCTTTCATCATAATCACAACCCAAAAGAGCCACGGAGGCCTCCCAGCTGGACGTACCTTTGAGCTTCCCGTCAAAGTTTGGGTTCGTGGCGACTTTGAGTCCCGGGTGAGGCAAGAGGAAGCAGGCGATGTTGGTGAAGCAGGAGTGGATGTGCTTGCGCACGTTCTGGAGCTCTTCGTGCTGGTTCCCCGAGACCTGAGCAAAAGGAGAAAAAAAGGGAAAGTTCACTTAATGCACAGAATGGAGTGCGGAGGAGAGATATTCAGGCGAGCCCCAAGTTACAAACAAGATGGGTTCTGTAGGTTGGTGAGAAAGCTCCAGTAAAAGGTAAAGGTAGAGGCTTCCCCTGACATTAAGTCCAGTAATGTCTGACTCTGGTGGTTGGTGCTCATCTCGATTTCTAAACCAAAGAGCTGGCGTTGTCCATAGACGCCTCCAAGGTTATGTGTCCAGCATGACTGCATGGAACACTATTACCTTCCCGCAGAAGTGGTACCTATTGATCTACTCATACTTGCATGTTTTCAAACTGGTAGGTTGGCAGAAGCTGGGGCTGACAGCAGGAGCTCACCCTGCTCCCTGGATTTGAACCTGCAACCTTTCAGTCAATAAGTTTAGCAGTTCAGTGGTTTAACCCACTGTGCCAGTGGGGGCTCCTTACATGTGTGTCTATATATATGTGTGTGTGTGTGTGTGTGTGTGTGTGTATGCTAATATTGGTATTCCAAAATTGGTGGGGGGAAAAACACATTTCCTATAACCTCAAGCATTTCAGAGAAAGGATGCTCAACCAGCATTTGCACAATCTAAGTTGCACAATCTATAATACTATGTAACAAAATGTACACTAGGTTCTTGTGGGTTTTTTCGGGCTATAGGGCCATGTTCTAGAGGCATTTCTCCTGACGTTTCGCCTGCATCTATGGCAAGCATCCTCAGAGGTAGTGAGGATGCTTGCCATAGATGCAGGCGAAACGTCAGGAGAAATGCCTCTAGAACATGGCTCTATAGCCCGAAAAAACCCACAAGAACCTAGTGATTCCAGCCATGAAAGCCTTCGACAAAATTTACACTGCCTGAGCTCTGCAAGTGCAGCATTTTTCCGAATGAAGCAGAGAGTGTTTGAGGACCGGGAAATCCGTAGGGATACCAAGGTGCTTGTCTATAAAGCCTATTGTCCTCCCAACCCTGCTATATGCCTGCGAGACGTGGACTGTCTACAGACGTCACATGCAACTCCTGGAACGATTCCATCAGCGCTGCCTCCGGAAAATCCTGCAAATCTCTTGGGAAGACAAGCAGACAAATGTCAGCATGCTGGAAGAAGCAAAGACCACCAGCATTGAAGCGATGGTCCTCCGCCATCAACTCCGCTGGACCGGCCATGTTGTCCGGATGCCCGACCACCGTCTCCCAAAGCAGCTGCTCTACTCCGAACTCAAGAATGGAAAACGGAATGTTGGAGGACAGGAAAAGAGATTTAAAGATGGGCTCAAAGCCAACCTTAAAAACTCTGGCATAGACACTGAGAACTGGGAAGCCCTGGCCCTTGAGTGCTCCAGTTGGAGGTCAGCTGTGACCAGCAGTTGTGGGAGTTGTGGGAGTTGAAGTCCAAAACACCTGGAGGGCCAAAGTTGGCCCATGCCTGGGTTAAACTGTCAACTGCTTTGAGTCTTTCTTCTTCTGAAGTGGGAGAAGCACTTCGATGCAATTAAACTGCATCTCCCATTAGCCCCAGCAGAGGCAGTGGTGGTAGACAATGGGAGTTGTAGTGTACCAATATATGGAGTTGCATAGGCTCCTTGCCAGTATCTTAAATGATAACGACAGGAGCAGAGCATTTAAAGGCCTATCTAGGAAGCAAAGCCTTCACACCAACCTTGAGGCGCTTTTCCAAAAACTTGGCCCCGCCTTCGGCTCCATAGGAAAATTCATAGGGAAAGCTCCAGTCGCGAACGAGGAAGATGAGGGACTAATGTTCAAAGGCAAGAACAAAAAATAAATCAGAAGTCTTAGGAACATAAGCTTATTTGAAATTATCTTTCGTGGACAATACGGTTGACAATAGAGTCATATTCGAAGCCTGGAAGTGTCAACATTGACCAGCTATCAAGACAGTTTGGAGGTTTGGCTACAAAAAATGTGTGTTTAATAGACATCCAATTTACAACAAGTATTTTAGGAAACAGATTCACCTCTTATCAATACAGACACAACATATTTCCTCTTTCCTTACTATTGCTTTTTATTAGTTTATTGTGTTGTCAAAGGCTTTCATGGTTGGAATCACTGGGTTGCTGGGTTGTTGTAGGTTTTTTCGGGCTATATGGCCATGTTCTAGAGGCATTCTCTCCTGACGTTTCGCCTGCATCTATGGCAAGCATCCTCAGAGGTAGTGAGGTCTGTTGGAACTAGGAAAGTGGGTTTATATATCTGTGGAATGACCAGGGTGGGACAAAGGACTCTTGTCTGTTGGAGCTAGGTGTGAATGTTTCAATTGACCACCTTGATTAGCATTTAATGGCCTGGCAGTGCCTGGAGCAATCTTTTGTTGAGAGGTGATTAGATGTGCCTGATTGTTCCCTCTCTGTTGTTGTGCTGTTGTAATTTTAGAGTTTTTTAATACTGGTAGCCAGATTTTGTTCATTTTCCTTCTTTCCTCCTTTCTGTTGAAATTGTCCACATGCTTCTTGTGGATTTCAATGGCTTCTCTGTGTAGTCTGACATGGTGGTTGTTGGAGTGGTCCAGCATTTCTCAAACAATATGCTGTGTCCAGGTTGGTTCATCATCTAATCACCTTTCAACAAAAGATTGCTCCAGGCACTGCCAGGCCATCAAATGATAATCAAAGTGATCAGTTGAAACATTCACATCTAGCTCCAGCAGGCAAGAGTCCTTTGTCCCACCCTGGCCATTCCACAGATATATAAACCCTTTTTCCTAGTTCCAATAGAACTAACTACCTCTGAGGATGCTTGCCATACATGCAGGCGAAACGTCAGGAGAGAATGCCTCTAGACCATGGTCATATAGCCCGAAAAAACCTACAACAACCCAAAGATTCTGGCCATGAAAGCCTTCGACAATACAGAGAGAAAACAATCAAGGCCATCTAATCACCTCTCAACAAAAGATTGCCCCAGGCACTGCCAAGCCATCAAATGCTAATCAAAGTGGTCAGTTGAAACATTCACATCTAGCTCCAGCAGACAAGAGTCCTTTGCCCCACCCTGGTCATTCCACAGATATATAAACTTTTTTTCCTAGTTCCAACAGACTTCACTACCTCTGAGGATGTTTGCCATAGATGCGGACAAAACGTCAGGAGAAAATGCCTTTAGAACATGGCCACATAGCCCGAAAAAACCTACAACCCAGTGATTCCGGCCATGAAAGCCTTCGACAAATTATTATTATTATTATTATTATTATTATTATTATTATTATTATGGGAAGCAAGTGCAACAATCAATATAGCAGACTTCTTGGGGAAGGAACTGAAGACACCCCCCTCTCCGCCCTGATTTTCCAACCTCTTCTCTTACTTGGAAGGGCTTCAGGAAGGTCTCCTCCATGGCCAGCCGCCCGTATTCCGTGAAGAGCTGGAACGAGAAACACATCCAGGAGAATGTCAAGATTTGGCAGCGTTAAAGGCAGGTCCCGGGGTTCTGCACTCCACAATGCAAACATTTGCCTTTGAAAACATTATATACCTGGGACGGCTCACAAGGATGCTTAAAATCAATATGAATAAAACTCAAAATGTGTATGTATGCATAGATGTCTTGATCTATTTTCCAAGGTGGCTCTCACATCCAGAGAGCTCCATGACTCCTGCCAACAATGTATCTGGACCAAACCTGGCACACAGCCCCACCCCAAATGACCAAGTACAGGCAGGGTTTGCGGGAGTAATGACAGAAGATGATGGGAGTTGTAGTTCACCCATTTGCTAAATGCGCAGTGAACTATACCAGCAATGGACCTGGATCCCACTTGGCACAAATACCCAATTTGACCAACTTTACATATTTGGGGAGGGGAATTGTGATAGAAGATGATGGGAACTGTAGTTCATCCATATGCTAAATGCACCTTGAACCCCATCGACGTTGCATCTGGATCAAAGTTGGTACAAATATCTAACATGACAAACTTTACATGCTGGTGGAGTTTCTTTGGGTAGGGGGTGAGCAGGAATGGCAAAGGTTGATGGGAGTTGTAGTTCACCCATATGCAAAGTGCACTGTGAACCCTACCGACAATCGATCTGGACCACATTTGGCATAAATACCCAATTTGACAAACTTTACATATTTGGAGAGGGGGATTATGACAGAAGATGATGGGAGTTGTAGTTCACCCATATATGAAGTGCACTGAGAACCAAAGCGATGATGGATCTGGGCCAAACTTGGCACACATACCCAACATGACAGCCTATATACTGGTGGGGGTGGGGACAATGAAATAAAATGATGGGATTTGTAGTACACCCATATGCTAAATACACTGGGAACTCCACCAACAATGGATCTGGACCAAACTTGGTACAAATACCTAACATGACAAACTTTACATACTGGTGGATGGGGGGGGGAGCAGGAATGGCAGGGGTTAATGGGATTTGTAGTTCACCCATATACAAAGTGCACTGTGAACCCTACCGACAATCGACCTGGACCACACTTGGCATAAATACCCAATTTGACAAACTTTACATATTTGGAGAGGGGGATTATGACAGAAGATGATGGGAGTTGTAGTTCACCCATATATGAATTGCACTGTGAACTCAAGCAATGATGGATCCGGGCCAAACTTGGCACACATACCCAACATGACAAACTACATACTGGTAGGGTGGGGATGGGGTGGGATGGGAGCAATGACACAATACGATGGGAGTTGTAGTTCACCCATAGGCAAAGTGCACTGTGAACCCAAGCGATGATTGATCTGGGCCAAACTTGGTAAAAATACCCAATATGACAAACTACATACTGGTAGGGTGGGGTTGGGGTGGGGATAGGGTGGGGTGGGGTGGGAGCAATGACATAATATGATGGGAGTTGTAGTTCACCCATATGCAAAGCGCACTGTGAACCCAAGCGATGATGGATTTGGGCCGAACTTGGCACACATATCCAACATGACAAACTACATACTGGTAGGGTGGGGTGGGGTGGGGATAGGGTGGGGTGGGAGCAATATGATGGGAGTTGTAGTTCACCCATATGCAAAGAGCACTGTGAACCCTACTGACAATTGACCTGGTCCACACTTGGTACAAATACTCAATTTGACAAGCTTTACATATTTGGAGAGGAGGATTATGACAGAAGATGATGGGAGTTGTAGTTCATCCATATATGAAGTGCACTGTGAACCCAAGCGATGATGGATCTGGGCCGAACTTGGCACACATACACAACATACATATGGGGGGGGGGGGGCTAAGAGAAAATGATGGGAGTTGTAGTTCACCTATATGCTAAATGCACTGAGAACCCCACAAACGATGAATCCGGACCTAACTTTGCACAAATACCCCTCAAGACCATCTTTAAGGACTGGCCAGGTTTGGAGGAGATTGACTCAGGATGTTGGGAGTTGTAGTTCACCCACAATCAAAGAGCACTTGGAACCCAACCGATGAAGGGATGCAATGAGATGGGATGGACAGACCTTACCTGCAAGTGCTGGAGGTCGTCTTCCTGGACGTTCTGGGACAGATTGTACACCTGGAGACAAAAAACACACCACAAGAGAGTCACAACGGTGGCAGACCTACTTAGCTTCAAACAGGCCATGTGACTTCATTTGAACTGGAATGCATCATCCATGATTCTGTTCCTCACGCATAGCATGTACTGCCCTGCTTCCTCGATGCTTCGCCCCGCATCTGGTCTCCGTTTTGTACCTGGATGGAGCTGATCATGGTGCTCAGCGCAAAGACAGTGGCCGAATCGCGCAACGTCGATTGGCTGTCGAAGGTCCCCTGAGTGTCCATGAGCAGAACGGCCACCTGCGGAGAAAGGGAGATGCAAACACTTGCAAGACTGAGGCTTTGCACCCCAAGGAGTTCTCCTCCTTCTTCTCCATTGGTGCATCCACACTGTAGAATTAATGCAGTTTTGCAAGGTCCTAGATCAATAGGTACCAATTTTGCGGGAAGGTAACGGCACTCCATTCAGTCATGCTGGCCACAGGACTAGGTGATCTAGGTGTCCATATGTTTGCACCAGGAATATGAATTTTTAGGTTGCTGTGAGTTTTTCAGGCTGTATGGCCATGTTCCTGCAGCATGCCCTCTTGACGTTTCACCTGCATCTGTGGCAGGCATCTTTAGAGGTTTGTTGAAGCGAGGCAAGTGGAGTGTATATATCTGTGGAATTGTTGGCAAGGTAAATATTGCAATTAGCAAATGTGAATAGCACTGAGTAGCCTTGCAGCTCCAAAGCCAAAGTATTATTCCACAGATATATATATATATATATACACACACACACATACATACACACACACACACACACACACACACACACACACCCCGTATATACTCGAGTATAAGCCGACCCAAATATAAGCCGAGGCACCTAATTTTACCACAAAAAACTGGAAGCCGAGGGTGAGAAATGCAGATGCTACTGATAATCATCAGTAGGTTAAATTTTTTGTGTATTTACATAAAACTGTAATTTAAGATAAGACTGTCCAACTGTCCAAACCATTATGCTAACCTTCCTCAATGTAAATGTGCTTACGTATCCTTCCAATAATAATAAAGAGAGTAAAATAATAAATGTAATAATAATAATAATAATAATAATAATAATAATAATAATACATAGAATAAAATAATAAATGTAATAAAATAATAGTACAGTAAAATAATGTAAAGGTAATAATAATAATAATAATACATAGAATAAAATAATAAATGTAATAAAAATAATAGTACAGTAAAATAATGTAAAGGTAATAATAATAATAAAATACATAGAATAAAATAATAAATGTAATAATAATAATAATAATAATAATAATAATAATAATAATAATAACAGAGTAAATAATGGAAATTTAATAACAGTAATAGAGCAAAATAATAAATGTAATAATAATAATAATAATACCTAGAGTAAAATAAGAAATATAATAAAAATAATAGTACAGTAAAGTAATGTAAAGGTAATAATAATACATAGAATAAAATAATGTAATAATAATAATAGAGTAAATAATGGAAATTTAATAACAGTAATAGAGTAAAATAATAAATGTAATAATATAATAATAATACATAGAATAAAATAATCAATGTAATAAAAATAATAGTATAGTAAAATAATGTAAAGGTAATAATAATAATAATACATAGAGTAAAATAATAAATGTAATAATAATAATAATAGAGTGTTGTTGTTCATTCGTTCAGTCGTCTCCGACTCTTCGTGACCTCATGGACCAGCCCACGCCAAAGCTCCCTGTCGGCCGTTACCACCCCCAGCTCCCTCAAGGTCAGTCCAGTCACTTCAAGGATGCCATCCATCCATCTTGCCCTTGGTCGGCCCCTCTTCCTTTTGCCTTCCATTTTCCCCAGCATCATTGTCTTCTCCAGGCTTTGCTGTCTCCTCATGATGTGGCCAAAGTACTTCAACTTTGTCTCTAGTATCTTTCCCTCCAGTGAGCAGTCGGGCTTTATTTCCTGGAGGATGGACTGGTTGGATCTTCTCGCATTCCAAGGCACTCTCAGCACTTTCCTCCAACACCACAGCTCAAAAGCATCTATCTTCCTTCGCTCAGCCTTCCCTAAGGTCCAGCTCTCACATCCGTAGGTTACTACAGGGAATACCATGGCTTTGACTAGGCGGATCTTTGTTCCCAGTCTGATGTCTCTACTCTTCACTATTTTATCGAGACTGGACATTGCTCTCCTCCCAAGAAATAAGCGTCTTCTGATTTCCTGGCTACAGTCTGCATCTGCAGTAATCTTTGCACCTAGAAATACAAAGTCTGTCACGGCCTCCACGGTTTCTCCCTCTATTTTCCAGTTGTCAATCATTCTTGTTGCCATAATCTTGGTTTTTTTGACGTTTAGCTGCAACCCCGCTTTTGCGCTTTCTTCTTTCACCTTGATTAGAAGGCTCCTCAGCTCCTCCTCGCTTTCGGCCATCAGAGTGGTGTCATCTGCATATCTGAGGTTGTTAATGTTTCTTCCAGCAATTTTCACCCCAGCTTTGCATTCCTCAAGCCCCGCACATCCTCGCATGATGTGTTCTGCATACAAGTTAAAAAGGTTGGGTGAGAGGATGCAGCCTTGCCGGACGCCTTTCCCAATCTTGAACCAGTCTGTTGTTCCGTGGTCAGTTCTGACTGTTGCTCCTTGGTCCTTGTACAGATTCCTCAGGAGAGAGGGAAGGGGGCTTGGGATGCCCATCCCACTAAGAAGCTTGCCACAATTTATTATGATCCACACAGTCAAAGGCTTTAGAGTAGTCAATGAAGCAGAATAGAGTAATAGAATAATAGAGTAAATAATGGAAATTGAATAACAGTAATAGAGTAAAACAATAAATGTACTAAAAATAATACTAATAACATAGTAAAATAATAAATAACCTTGACTCGAGTATAAGCCGAGGGGAACCTTTTTAGCCTAAAAAAGGGGCTGAAAAACTAGGCTTATACTCGAGTATATACACTCCACTTGCCTCACTGCCAACAGACCTCTGAAAATGCCAGGCACAGATGCAGGCGAAACGTCAGGAGATCGGCTGTTATGAATTGTGGGAGTTGAAATCCAAAACTACTGGCGGGCCCAAGTTTGCCCATGCCTGCTCCATAGCACTGAGTTGTGACCTCCAAAGTGGTGCCAAACTGCATCCATTCTGCAGTGTAAACACATCCAAACCACCACCCACCCTGTTCCCGTCCGGCTTGTCGACCAGGAAGACTTCGCTCCAGATCTGGATCCCGGTCGTCTCTCGCTCCGACCCTCCTCTCCAGGAGAAACCTGTCAGTGGCTCGTTGTAATCGCCGACCCAGTCGACCGACTCCTGGGAAGGAAGGAAAAGAGGGCAAGTGATAGCCATTTGGGAGAAAAGTGGTATGTAATCCAAATTGGCCAAACAGATAAAAATAATCATGTCTTAAAGATCCCAGAGATAAGAAAGAACCTTCCCTACCCAACCCTTCGTCCTCTAGCGCAAGGAAGCAATGGGTGGGCAGCTTACCATGTTGTACATGTATCTCAGCATGAAATCCATGAGGAAGGACTTCCCAATTAAGAAATGGCATTGATAACCCAGGAAAAAAACAGTGTTATATAAGGAATAAGCAGCCGAGTAGTAGAGAAGATTTTAAATTAGATTTATACTCAGGGAAATATATATAAAATAATCCCAATGCTGCTCAGCCAAATTATAACGATAACACCTCCACTACAGACTAGCTCACCAAAATATAGAGTTCACAAAAGGTAGAGGGAGTATGGTAGTTGTTCCACTATATATTTAAAAGTTAGGAACTGGGAACCACTGGAACTGAGAGACTTAAAATGATTCTTCGAAAGATTTCCACTGCCACCATATTAATAATAAACAGGCTGAGGTATTGTTGAGAGGTTATTCAGTAACACACTCTGTGCCACTATAGTTTTCTATGTGACCGTATTTCTGTATACGAACACACGCAATCTCTTTGATCATCTGGAGAGGCCCTGCTCACGCTCCCACCTGCATCGCAAGCGCGATTGGTGGAGACGAGAGAGAGAGCCTTCTCAATAGTTGCCCCTCGACTCTGGAACTCACTCCCTAAGGACATCAGGCAGGCCCCAACTCTGGCAGTCTTCAGGAGGAGCTTGAAAACGTGGTTATTCCAGTGTGCCTTCCTAGAATAAGGAATCCTCAGCACTTTGTCCTCTAAAGTACTTTATATTGATTTAGGTCTGTTCGTATGTCTCCACTACGCCCACTTCCTTATCTCGTCCATGACCAGCATGATTTTAAATTTTTATTTACATTTGGCCCAGCCATAGATTTTAAAGTGTTTTGTACTATTGTCAATGCTTATGTTATTGTCTATGTGATTTATTTTCATTGCATGTATTGTTATTGTTATTGCTTGTATTGTTGTATTGCGGGCTCGGGCTCATGTAAGCTGCACCAAGTCCCTTGGGGAGATGGTAGCGGGTATAAATAAAGTTATTATTATTATTATTATTATTATTATTATTATTATTATTTCTTAGAGGCTGCTGAAAGCTGACTTGAATAATGCTTTGACCACAAAGGTATTCACATTGAGGCTGGTATAAGTTGATAAAAATAGCAAGAATGTTTATTGAACAGGCTTGAAATATTCAGGTACAAATGCTTGATGGTTTCAGTAAAATACTGGCATCAAAAGCTTGTGGTTGGGTGAGAGTAAAGATCTTAAAAACTTCTGGGTTACAAGTCTTAAAAGTTCCAACACAAAAAATTACTTCAGGAAATGAATCTCTGAACGTAACTCCCCAAAATGCCCCCTAGGAATCTAGCCAAAACCCTGAACTAGACTTCCTTAGGAAATGAACAGACCACTAACGGGGTTCTGCTCCACACAGTATTCCAGCTATTTACTCAATAACTGTTCTGAATACTACACAAAAAACTGACCCAAACTTCTTCAAAACCCAAACTGCTCTCGCTAACACCCACACTTCTTCTCTCTACCCTTTCCAAACTCCCACAACTGGCCAACTGGGACCTCAAACTTTTTCCTTCAGACCACTTAGATTCCACCCCCATCTTTCTAGCCAGTCCTAGCCTTCTGATTTTCCCTCCTAGACTTGAACACGGCCTAAACTAAGATGGCTTCTCCCTGTCTTCCTTCTCCAAAATGGACGTTGTGGCTTCGCCAGGCCCACTCCCTGAGGCTTTTGCCAGCTAGCTAAGGTAAGGAATTCATTACATGTTACATAGTGTTATCATCACCCTCCTGTGCAAGGCAGCTTACCATGTTGTACATGTATCTCAGCATGAAATCCATGAGGAAGGACTTCCCTTTGCGGAAGGCTCCGGCCACTGAGACGGCGACCACCTCCTTGTCGCGCACGGCTTCAGAGAGCAAGATGCGATTGAGGGCGGCTTCGTCCAGCTCGAAGGAGTGGTCGTCCTTCACGATCAGCACCTGCACTGGGCGCGCCTTGCCCTCCGGCTCCTCCTCCTCCGAGCTCCATTCGTAACTCCGCTCCGAGAAGCCACCTGTGCCAAAAGGGACAGGTAAGGTCAGGATACAGCAATGAGCCCAAAGACTTTCTGAGCAAAGCTACAAATCTCCTTCGCCGAACTTGGGAACACCACCTGTTTGGGATTGCACTTTGCAGAATCCCACAGCCGGCTCTCGTTCGCCTGGAAAAAGCCAAGTTCCCAAAACCATTTCCTTGGGTTGCATCTACAGCAGGCATGTGCAAACTTGGGCCCTGTGCTTTGGAATTTATTATTAGAGCCTCTGTAACTTAGATATTACAAATACTGATTGAGTATCCTTTCTCCGAAATGTTTGCAACTAGAGGAAATTTGGACTTTTTCACCAATTTTGGAATACCAATATTAAGAGATAGATAGCAATCTATATATATATATATAAATGCTCCGTGCATAATGAGTACCTTAAAAACAAAAGAACCAATGAACGAAATCACACCAAATTTGGCAACAAATCGTCTCACAACACAAGGAGTGACCATCACTCATTTGGGAGTATAGTTGCTGAGATTTACAGTTCACCTACAATCAAAGAGCATTCTGAACTCCATCAATGATGGAATTGAACCAAACTTGGCACACAGAACTCCCATGACCAACAGAAAATACTGGAAGGGTTTGGTGGGCATTGACCTTGAGTTTGGGAGTTGTAGTTCACCTACATCCAGAGAGCACTGTGGACTCAAACAATGATGGATCTGGACCAAACTTGGCATGAATATTCCATATGCCCAAATATAAACACAGATGGAGTTTGGGGGAAATAGACCTTGACATTTGGGAGTTGTAGTTTCTGGGATTTATAGTTCACCTACAATCAAAGAGCATTCTGAACCCCACCAATGATAGAATTGGGCCAAATCTCCCACACAGAACCCCCATGTGGGCCACAGCAATGTGTGGCAGGGAACGGCTAGTATAGATATAGATATATAGATACACACACACAAGTCTAAGTACAGAATTCATTCATGTTTAATATGTGAAAACTGTGGTCAGCAAAGAATACATTCAAAGGGTCAGAAAAATTCTCAAAAGCAAGCTCAAGGGAGGCAACACCATCAAGGCCATAAACACCTGGGCCATACCTGTCATAAGATACACTGCTGGCATCATAAACTAGACAATTTGGACAGAAAAACAAGAAAACTCATGACCATTCATAATTCATTACATCCTCGCAGCGATGTCAACCAGCTCTATCTGCCTAGAACAGTGGTTCTCAACCTGGGGTCCCCAGATGTTTTTGGCCTACAACTCCCAGAAATCCCAGCCAGTTGACCAGCTGTTCGGATTTCTGGGAGTTGAAGGCCACAGACATCTGGGGACCCCAGGTTGAGAACCACTGGCCTAGAAGGTCTGGGGGCAGAGGACTCTTACAACTCAAACAAGCAGTCGAAGAAGAAAAACACGAAGCCCTGGCAGAACATGTCAAGGAAAGCCAAGAACCTGCTTTAATTGAAGTCAGTAATCTGAAACTTCTCAAAGCATGGCAGACAAAGAACAGTACAAGAAAACTGCACCCCAAACCAGAGCTGACAGCTGGCACAACAAAGCACTGCATGGGCAATTCCTTGACGAAAGGAAAGTTGACAGGGAGAAGACCTGGTGATGGCTCACAAATGGAACCCTGAAGAAAGAGACCATCCAAAGGCAAAGGTGTCCCTCTCTCAGCCACAACACTCCAAACTCATCTCAGCATCTGGATGATTTTGGAGTATTTTGGAATTCCCGATAAGATATGCTCAGCCTGTTCAGGTGGTCCCAGAGTCACAAACATCTTACAAACATCTGAGGTACAAAGGAAGGCCGAAACTAAGACAAGTCAAACCCGCATTTTGGACTTTAGGAGAGCTGATTTCCAAAAAATGAAGGAAACGCTGAGCAGCATTCCGTGGACACAGATACTAAAAGACAAGGGAGTTACGGATGTATGGGAATTTCTCAAGAGTGAAATACTCAAGGCGCAATTGCAAACCGTGCCAACAAAGAGAAAAAATAGGACAAGTGCAAAGAAGCCAGAATGGATGTCCAAAGAACTTCTAACTATGCTAAGACACAAAAGAGACATGCACAAGAAGTGGAAAAAGGGAGAAATCACCAAAGAAGAATTCAAACAAATAGCCAACACCTGTAGGGAAAAGGTCCGCAAGGCTAAAGCGAAAAACGAGCTCAGACTTGCCAGGGACATTAAAAACAATAAAAAGGGCTTCTATTCTTATGTCAGTAGAAAAAGGAAAAACAAGGAGGCGATAGGACCTCTTCGAGGAGAAGATGGGGCAATGCTGACAGGGGATAGGGAAAAGGCAGAACTACTTAATGCCTTCTTTGCCTCGGTCTTCTCACAAAAAGAGAGTCTTCAACCTCAGCTAGATGGAGTGGATGAGGGATTGGAGGACATCCAACCCCAAATTGGGAAAGAAGTCGTCCAGGAATACCTGGCCGCTCTTAATGAGTTCAAGTCCCCAGGGCCAGATCAACTACACCCCAGAGTATTGAAGGAACTAGCGGAAGTCATTTCGGACCATTGGCAACCATCTTTGAGAGTTCTTGGAGAATGGGAGAAGTTCCAGCAGATTGGAGGAGGGCCAATGTGGTCCCAATCTTCAAGAAGGGAAAAAAGGATGACCCAAACAACTACCGTCCGGTCAGCCTCACGTCGATACCAGGCAAGATTCTGGAAAAGATTGTTAAGGAAGCGGTCTGCAAACACTTAGAAACAAATGCAGTCATCGCTAATAGTCAACATGGATTTATCAAAAACAAGTCATGCCAGACTAATCTGATCTCTTTCTTCGATAGAGCTACAAGCTGGGTAGATGCGGGGAATGCCGTGGATGTAGCGTACCTGGATTTCAGTAAGGCTTTCGACAAGGTCCCCCATGACCTTCTGGCAAGGAAACTAGTCCAATGTGGGCTAGGCAAAACTACGGTGAGGTGGATCTGTAATTGGTTAAGTGACGAACACAGAGGGTGCTCACCAATGCTTCCTCTTCATCTTGGAAAGAAGTGACGAGTGGAGTGCCGCAGGGTTCCGTCCTGGGCCCGGTCCTGTTCAACATCTTTATTAATGACTTAGATGAAGGGCTAGAAGGCAGGAGCATCAAGTTTGCAGACGACACCAAATTGGGAGGGATAGCCAATAGTCCAGAGGACAGGAGCAGGATTCAAAACGATCTTGACAGATTAGAGAGATGGGCCAAAACTAACAAAATGAAGTTCAACAGTGACAAATGCAAGATACTCCACTTTGGCAGAAAAAATGAAATGCAAAGATACAGAATGGGTGACAATGCCTGGCTCGAGAGCAGTACGTGTGAAAAAGATCTTGGAGTCCTCGTGGACAACAAGTTAAACATGAGCCAACAATGTGATGTGGCGGCAAAAAAAGCCAATGGGATTTTGGCCTGCATCAATAGGAGCATAGTGTCTAGATCTAAGGAAGTAATGCTACCCCTCTATTCTGCTTTGGTTAGACCACACCTGGAATATTGTGTCCAATTCTGGGCACCACAATTCAAGAGAGATAGTGACAAGCTGGAATGTGTCCAGAGGAGGGCGACTAAAATGATCAAGGGTCTGGAGAACAAGCCCTATGAGGAGCGGCTTAGGGAACTGGGCATGTTTAGCCTGAAGAAGAGAAGGCTGAGAGGAGATATGATAGCCATGTATAAATATGTGAGGGAAGCCACAGGGAGGAGGGAGCAAGCTTGTTTTCTGCTTCCTTGGAGACTAGGACGCGGAACAATGGCTTCAAACTACAAGAGAGGAGATTCCATCTGAACATTAGGAAGAACTTCCTGACCGTGAGAGCCGTTCAGCAGTGGAACTCTCTGCCCTGGAGTGTGGTGGAGGCTCCTTCTTTGGAAGCTTTTAAGCAGAGGCTGGATGGCCATTTGTCAGGGGTGATTTGAATGCAATATTCCTGCTTCTTGGCAAGGGGGTTGGACTGGATGGCCCATGAGGTCTCTTCCAACTCTTTGATTCTATGATTCTATGTCTATGATTCTAAATGACTCCTAATAAAGAACGGGGCTGGGTTATGATGATGGGAAAAAGGGGTTTCCACTGAAGCTGTATCTCCAATCCTTGTTTCCACAACAAGCCAAAATCCAATTCTCACAAGGACAGACAATGAAGTCTTCCAAACAGGGACACAGATAGCAAAACAAACTTTGCTCTCTATCTAGGTGCTTTGATCTCTTAACCCAGGCATGGGCCAACTTGGGCCCTCCCTCCAGGTGTTTTGGACTCCAACTCCCACAATTTCTAACAGCCTATTGGCTGTTAGGAATTGTGGTAGTTGGAGTCCAAAACACCTGGAGGGAGGGCCCAAGTTGGCCCGTGCCTGCTCACTCTCAATCACAGTAATTAATCCTGAACACAAATCCTCCGTCGCAATCATCAGTGAGGTTGGCGGTATGTTGACGTCGCTTCCGCCTTGCAAGAAATCAGACCTCGTTTTATTATTGCAGTATTATTATTATTATTCTGGCAAAAGTACAAGGAGGAAAATGGCTTCCCAGAAATCTATTTTTGGGTAACAGCTGATTCTCATTTGCCTAAGAAAGGAAAGGACACAAAATCTAGAACAACCAAAAACGGAACAAATTCTATTTGCAGTCTCTCCCAGTTTTGCTAATAGCTTAGTACTGCTACATAATTGGCCCTCCGTATCCATGGATTCAACCATCCACAGCTTAATGAAAATCCCCAAAAAAGCAAACTTTCATGTTGTCTTTTTATATAAGGGACACCATTTGACTATGATATCCTGGAACCAAACCCAAGTGTCTACAAATACATTACAATTCCTGCAAAGTTTGGGAGTGCAACTGGATGGCCCTTGTGCTATGATTCTACAGCCAGTCTGCTTAATGAAGGGCCAGAAACTGGGAATTTTTGTAATGCTGCTTATATTTAATCCTGCTTAAAGAAGAGAAGGTGATGTGAATGCTAGAATCCAAGAGTTGGAAGAGACCTTGTGGGAATGGCGG